TTAGTTAGCGGCATTAGTAGTTACATAAATGTATCCATGTTTCCATGACATTACGTGGCTAATCGCTAATTGCAAAGTATTTTGCCAGAAATACGAAACGAGCGCAAATAATCGGGGTGATATTCGGCCAAGTACCCGGATTGTTTCCCCGATAACAAATGGGATACGCGCGAACGATTACTTTCGGCCGGTACACGCTTTTAATAATTGGCATCATTCCGCACTCAGCGCGTACTAATTACATGCGAATGGTATGTTAAATTATGGTAATGAAACGGAGGGGGGGGGGAGGGGGGAACTTAGGGCGGCATTAAATAACGGTAAGGATGAAAAGCCGAATTTCCATTCGGCTCATGACGAATGGTGATTGCGATCGTTTCCGCTCCACCGGAATCCATTATAGACTTGTTCTACGCCTGACATTATCTCGCCACCGCGAGGCGGAGGTTGTAATTAGTTGTGCATAGTAATCCGTCACGAAATGCACTTTCCGGCGAATCACGCTCACTGATCGAGAAAAATAATATTATCGCGATACAAGCCTCTATTATAACGAGCTTTAACAGGGGGAGGGGATCCGAATCTAACCAGTTTATTATTTTTATCGTTGAATAATAGAGGCCAACAACGCGTTCTTTCCTTTTACGAAGGTAACGTTACGAACCCCGTGGATAATGCAAAAGATCTAAAATTAACTTTCTCGTTAGGAAAATTAACATTTTTACACGATTACGCGAATCAATATAAACGATAAACAGACGTTTAAACGTCCGGTTTAAGGAAATGAAAAGTACAAATGAGATTAACTCAACTTTCTTGCACGAAACAAACGTGCAATAAATAATAAATAATAAAATAGGAAATACAAATGAAATCAGTACAGCAATTTCTACCCTCTCTCTATTGAGCTCTCAAACTTATTCAAAGTTGTTCTTATCCTCGAGTCGTTGGATCAAAATTCGTTCAAGGGAACAAAAATTACGCGAGCATTCAACTCGACGCGTCCTTCGACACGATTTATACTCCACGCTAATAATCTTCCTCGAGGACAAAGATTCTGACTTCTCTCCGATCCGTCATCCAAAACCAGTTTTCGTGAACACGTGAACAATACAGCGCGGCCACGGCCACGACCACGTTACACTTGTTTTACATAAGCCACCGGTGGCGGGTTTCAAATTACGCGGTCACTTAAATCTTGGAAATTTATTGCTCGAAGGGCCGATCACGTGTTTCGGGGGAGAGGTAAACCATTCAGGCGAACCGACCCAGCCTCCGCTTCGCCTATCGTTCCTCCGTTTAACGTTCGCACCGTGAATTACCTAATCTACTTTATGGGGCGGCGCCGTGACCGTCCCCGATAAGTTGTTCACCGACGCCGGCTTTTCTCCTACGAGTTATTGGTAAGCGTGCGTTAAAAACGTTATCACAGGCTGTAATTATAGCGTCCACCGGTGTGGATCGCGATGAAACACGGCATGGACATGCCGTTGACTTCCGCAGCGCGGCCTCCCCACTTCCGCCGATCGATGCTTTAGATTCACTTCGTTCGTTCGTTCGTTCGATCGTGAGATTTTTCGTTCCGCGGCCGAACAATTTCGCGGAATTCTTCTTGATCGAATTTAATTAAGTGAGGGGGGGAAGGGAGGGAAGGGGAACGTAATTGTAGATCGTAATTGAATGCAACGGGAGGAGAAATGGCGAGAGTGGAAATAATAGGTTCCTTTTATTTCCCCTTTCTCTCTTGGGAAGAAGGAAAGAAATCAGTCCTTTTGATCGTGAAACAACTCGCATTATACATTTTTATTTCCCACCGTTTTTCATCTTAAATTCGTTCCACCGCTGTGAAGAATTTTTTCCGATTTTAAAATTCGATTCCCCCGAGTATTCGATTATTTTACCGGTTAATAAACTTTGTAAAGATGATAACGGTAAAAGAATTATCGAATTGTCTAAATTTTTCGTCCAATTCTTTTTTCTTTTTTCAACGTTGTATGTGTATATATATATATATATATTAATATTTAATTCACGTTGAAACACTGATGGAATTTCATATAATAATAAAACCGTAATATATTCGATTTATCTCGAATTTCACGAAAGAATTGTACGATAAAATTGTGAACGTACGAGATTCAAAGATTTGAACGATAGACGTTTCCCGATAGAAGAAAAAGAGAGTAGAAATAGAAGTATGCAGAATCAAGGGAGAGATTGTTTCGAAGTCGTATTTAGTATCACCTGCAGAGCGTCGGATTTCTAGCTTTTAGCTAACAGTGTCGGAAAGGAAGTAGTATCCAACACTGGGAACGGGGGCAAAACTGAGGGCTGTTTTGCTCAAGAATAGTTACAGCCTCTGGCTCGTGAAGTATATAGCTCCATTGCACAGCGCGATGAGAATGTGTTCATATTACACATCCCAAACATTGCGTGAAACACGAAGTTTGAAAGATCACGTGCAACTCAACGGCGAGATATGATATAATTCGAATATAAACAGAGGCGAATCGTAAGTGAATTTTCATCTTTGCGAAGAAGCCCATTGCCACTTATACATCGAAATTTAACCATAAAATATCGCCAACTTTCATATTTTTCGCGTCACGGCGTAATTTTACGAAACATTCACCCCGGCCAGACCTCTTCACAGTGCAGCAACAGGTCAACAAATTTGCTTGTTTAGAAAATTTCTCACAAAGATTAAGCGTCACGATAAATCTACATTTTCGAACATTATACCCCTCCCATTACCTTTGTCCGTAAATTTTTATTTTAACGCGAACATTTGTCCACGATTCCCGCGTGTTACCAACGCACGGGTAAATTATGAAAATTAAAAATAAAGATCGTTTCAAACGCTTTTTTTTACGGATATTTCTCTTTGGGCCGAATAATTTCAAAATAATTGCGGAAAAAAATTAGTGAACGCGAAAAATTCGGCTGAATTCGATCGAGAGTTTCGAGCCTGCGGCAATGCGGGTATTAAGGAATTTATTAACACTTGTACCCTTATCGGGGTACTACTACTAGTAGTAGCAATTCGGCGCTAGACGGCTGCCCTCTAAATAATAGCTAAGCACGCGTTATCGCGGGTATAATTAGGCGGTCGGTCAGTGTGAAGAATGAATCACGGTAAATCAGAAACGAGCGGACGGACACTCTTTAAAGGCGCGGATCGGCGAAAAGCCTCGCAACCTGTCCGCTTCCTTGGTAACCCGGTAATTACGTTATCTCCTGTGTAACGCGTTGTTAACGAATTATTCCTCGCCGCGATAAAGCGGAGAATAATATAAACGGTCCTCGTATCGCCTGCCGTACCGTGTTATCTTGCGCCGTTTCATTCTTATCTGGCCGAGGATCGTGGCGTCGCGGATGTTCCACTTTCGATACCATTGCTCGCCCCCATTATGCTCGCGCATAAATTGCGATTTATGATCTTGCCGAGGGAGGGAGCCCCGGAGTCAACCCCCTCTCATCCGGTCTCCGGACACTTCCATCCTCCGTTTCGATCTTTATCGATGTCCTCCCGTATCAGCGTAAGGAACGTATGCATGTATCGGTAGTTGGTCGTCGTCGTAATCGAGAAAACGTTGACAAAATTGGGATCGTTTGTGGTAAAGGTGGGTGTTTCCGTGGCGAATAATTCCACGGAAGGAGGTGAATCGGAGGTAAGTCGAGACGACTCGAGGTTTCTGAAGATTGTATGAGATAAGAGACGATTTCGTGTGTGGGGTGTAATCAGTGGAAATATAGTGCGTCTCGACAGGTGACTGGATACATATCTACCGTTAGCTATTCTTAGGCCTTCGTTTCGAAGCTACAACGTTCTACGGTAAACTATGTTTTGTGACAGCTCGATATCGCAAATTTTCCAATAATTATACGTCGAAATTGAATTCCTGTCTATATTTCGTTTATCTTCGAGAATCTTCGAGAATAATTGCAGGAAAGAAGGAGAAGAATAAAACGTACAAACGCGTGTAATAAGCAAAAACGTTTAATCGAAATGACAAACGTTTCGATCCTATCCACCTTAACCTTTTATTATTAATAAATCCGACAGCATCGGTCGCGACGCGGTTCGTTGCGAATCGATTTTCAGAAGGCAGCCGGATAAGCCGGCGGAAAAATCGCGGCACCAAGCCGAGATATGGAAAACGAGAAACTTCCCCCCGACTAATTTAATTCCCCATCCCTTCGCCAGATCGCCGATAAAGAAGTTTACGCGGGGCTGGTTTAAGCGGCCGATCACTATGAAAATGTTTTATTGCCGGCGGTATTGCCCTTAAAACCGGCCACCCATTCCCAGACACGGCGCGATCGATATTTATAACGTATTGCGCGTCGCGTGCCTCCCTCCGCCTCCAGAAATACTCGCCACGGCGTTTAAACGCGTAAAGAACACGGCGTTAAACGGGAACGGAACGGATTAAACGATTTACGATTCGGCGCAGCCGCTTATTGAAACATCGCCGCGGCGTTCTCTCGGCGGGGTAGCACGCGGCCTCCATCGGTGAAACGCTTTCCATCGCCGCCACCGGCCGTAATTGCGCGTCGCAAGCCCGATTTGCGGCTCGTAATATCGCGGGAAATACGCGCGAGACGGTAAATTGTCGGGAAACGGTTTTTCTATCGCGTTTTTAGAGGCATTATTATCGGGCGGCGATACTTTGTTTTCGCGTGTATAGGAAATTTATCGGTTTTATTCCCGTCGTTGTTGCTGTTGTTCGACAACAATCGTGAATTGCCGCGCAACGAAGCTTTCCACGGGGGAAGGGAAAATACGGTTTAACACGGTATATTTATCTTTGGATGGAAATTTTCCGCTTTACGAGAGGATCGAGAATAGAAAGTCTTGGGCCATTTTGGTCGAATGATTCCTCGTCGTCACGGCCCGCGATCTCGAAAAGCTTCTGTGAGCTAAATCGCATTCATACGGGAAATTTCGTTGGCTCCTGGCCTCGGCTCTGTCTTATTCCATCGGTCCTCTTTCTCTCTTTCTCTCTCTCTCTCTCTCTCTCTATTCTCTCGATCCATTCACGCACACACACACACACACACACACATAACACACACACACACACTCCTCTCCCTGTTACCAACGTGGCGAGCACACGAGAAATTTCTGGAAAATTTCTCCTGGAAATTTTCCAGATATTTTCCCTCGAATCATCGAGACTTCGCGCAGACTATATCGAGCGTTGCGATTTAATTTAATTAATCTACGCGATGCTTTAATCAATTCGAATTTCGCTCCTCCCTTAAACTTAACATCGAATTCTTTATCTTCGAATTCTTCAACGCGTTGTGATTCAATAAGACGTGATAACATCTGGACGGTATGTAATTTTCAGCCGCCACATGGCCGGTGCAGAATCTTTTTGACGTATTCTTGGCCGTTCCAGCGCGAGTCGGGACAATTTGCGCGACACCTATCCTCGCCGTGTTATTTCGCGACTCCGTGTCCCGCGTTTTATCTCAATTTCCATCCCCGTTTCCCTCTCTTTTTCACGCACCACCATTTACAATATTTTCTCTCACCCCCTGCAAGCCCCCTTGTTTCTCGTAACAACAACGCGCAACGGGTTACGAAAATATTCCGTTTCCGTGCCACTGGCAACCGTATCCCTGTTCGTTTGTTTCGCGCATCTTTTTCGTCTTTTGAAATAACGCGCGTCGGTCCTCCCGATTTTTATTATTCCTTGCAGAATATCGTAATTTTCATCGTAAAAATACACCTAAGAATGCCGTATATTACTTATTTTAATTTATAGAAATGCGAAATGCACGCTTTACCGTCTCTTTATTTTTCAACGACACACTTTCCTCTTTCTGCGGATTCGGATGAAAAATTCGGACGAAGACTTCGTCGTCCCATTTCTTCTTGAATTACGCCTTTATTTTTCCACGCTCTTGTGAAACGTTTTCACAACACACACGTTTCCTTCTCGAAACGTTCGTTGAAAGGATAGGGAAGAAAGACTCGGCGCCACCAACTGTATCGTTCGATTTTCAACTTCACGATTCCGTTTTTTTTTTTTTCCCGCGAATCCGCCCGTTCCGAATTGTCGATATCGATGCGATGCAAGCTCGTGTCCAGCGGTTACGTTTACGCCGGTATTTTTCGTTTGGACGCGGCGTGACTCGCGCCATTGACCGAGAAAATTATGCGACGCCGGCCACCCTCGTTTCCGTGAAGTCGAGCGAGCGTGCCGCGCCGTGACACGGATGGAAGAATTTCGAAGGGCACACGCGCATTTCACGAAGTTTACGGATCGATCGTTCAAACGTTTTCCTTCCCCCTTTCTATAATAGTAACGAAAGTTGACTCGAGCGTGTATAATTTTTCCAGATATGGGTATTAAATTGAATTTCCTTTCCGTATGATGGATATTTCGACGTATGAGATTAAACGCGTTCTATATGCTCTCTCAACAGAAGAACTGACAAATTGTCGTGACTGTGTTGAAGCGGAGCGCTTCATGGAGAAAAGTACGACGAGATGCACTTTTCGAAAGGAAGTCACAGCCGCAGTTTTTTTCCTCTTTATTTTTAATGGATGAATGCGGTTCAATGTGAATCAATAGCTTTTGTTTTTCTTGTTATTAGAAACTAGGGAAACGAATCTATAATACGAATCTTTAATTCAACGATTCCGGTGTTAAGAACGTAATAACAAGTAATTTTCAAAAGAAATAAATACGATGATCCTGATTCAAAAATTAAAAGAGAGAAATAGTGATTGTAGTAAATGCAAGAACGAGAACGATCGAATACATAAAATTTAAAATATAAAATTCCACTCTCTTCGAAAAGAACTGTCTTCGCTTTTCTCAGTGAAATTTTTCACTGGCCTCTTTACCCTTCAACGACACTTTTCTACTACTTCCACCACTCCAATCAATTCGATCAATCATCGTCTCTCTCCATCGATTCCCCGCGAATATTTAAATTGTACATGCACAATGAAAACACGGCGCTACCTCATCCGAGGAAACGACGAGCACGAGACGACGCGAGTCGCACGATCTCGTTTCCACGAAGAGGGGCGAAGAATAGCGGGGGGGAGCAAGGATGAAAGTCGCTCGCGCTATTTTCCACGAGGGAAGGCAGGGGTGGAATACCTCTGGCGCGGTCCCCGAGCGCCTAATCTCTAAGTGGCGTCATTTATCTGTAGAGGCGGATACATACGTGCTGCCGGGTTTCCAACCGGCGAGTTGGTGTGCGAGACGTGGGTGAAGTGGGTGCCTCCTAGTCTCGTCAACTCGGAAAGATCGCCGTCTCCTTAGGGAGCGGCGAAAAAAATGTACCTTCCTTCTTTTCACGAGCCGCTTCACGTGAAAAGCGAGCGGAGAAATATTCTGCTCCGAATAATCGTGCGACGAACGATGGTAAATTTCTCGATCCCGTGGAACGAATCGAAGGAAAACTCGATATTTCCTTTCTCCTCTTATTTCTATTGTCTTATCTCGCGAGCGACGATTCTTCGAATGTTTGTTTAATTAAAAAAAAAAAAAAAAGAAAATTGATTCGCAACAGTTTTTTTTTTTATTTCTTTTTCTTCTCGTTTGCTTTCAGTTTCAAAGTGAGATCGTTGAACGAGCCAAATCGCGAGACTTTCTTGAGACGAAATGAAAACGAAAACGAAAAAGAACTTGGGAGGATTAAATTGACTTCGTAAGGTGAGGAAAGATTGGAGGACCTTCGTAAATAAGAGGGTTGGAAAAATTTAATGGTCAAAGAGGGAATCAAAATCTCCTCGAAACTCGGACGACCACCTCGAGAAGAAGCTCCCCCGGATAATACCGGTGTGAGCAAGGTGTTTGGGAGGGGGAGTGGAGGAGTGGAGGAGAGGTGTAAGAAAAAAAAAAAAAAAAAAAAAGAAAAAAGGAAGCAACGAGAAGAGAAGAGTAAGAGGTGATCCTAATGGCAGTAGTGTCCTTCTGTCGCTCGGGAATCGTGTACGGCTCCTTGAACAGGAGGGTCCCTGCGGCCTCCCTGAAATCCTTGGTAGTAGTACAACGAAGGTGAGATGGTGAGGTAACCTGAGGCGTTGCCTGAACATTACCTAGCCACGGTTGGCGATCCAAACCGAAACCTTATCCGTTCCTCTCTTAAGAAATTCCCATTCTCTCTTTGCTCTCGCTGCTCTTTGGCTACACCAGAGCAAGAAGAGGTGGGAGGAGGGGAAGAGAGGGCGAAGAAACGAGAACGAAACGGGAGGGAGGGGGCGGAGGGGGCACCTCTCCTCTTGGACGAGACGAGGTCGAGCAAAGCTGGGAGGAAGTGGAAGAAACTCTTCAGCTGTATCGTGGCACGTTTTAAAAGCAGCAGGCCGGGAGGAACCGGTCATAGAGCCTGCCAGAGATATTCACGCGTCATAAAGCAACGGAACTAATCTCGTGCCTGGTTCCTGGCCCTGTTCTCCTTTCCCCAACGATATCGTAATGGCCATCGGTTACTAACTAGAGTGAAAAATGCACCTCGACCCATACCCGTGAAGAACTATCGCGCTCGATTTGCTCGCGATTTCCGGTCCCCGAGCGTTCCAACTGGCTCACGGAAGTGGCGGGTTACATTAAGCTCGATTCGAACCGATATCTCGATACGCTTTCACGATCCTCCTTCCATCTATCGACGAAAATATTTTTTTTTCTCTTTAACTTTTTCGAATCTTCTAAAAGCTCGCGCGAATTTCGTTTCGAATTGAGGGAAAGAGAGAGAGAGAGAGAAACGAGTCGATTCGGAAGATTTTTCGCAGAGATCGTCCAATCAACTGACAAGATAATCAAAAAAATATCCCGACACATCTCGACTCTCGTTTTAATCGAAGGGAAAAAATTTTTCGTCGGAATGCCGATGATGGGAGCAGGGTGAAGCAACGAGGGATTTTATAGAACGTCGAACTGTGTGTACGTAGTCTGCTATGCACGGGCTATTGATGTATCGATGTAGTCTCATTCCTCCCTGACACCCGTCCGCCAGACCGTCGATTCGTCGATTGATTTCCGCACTTTCGAGCGGTTTCACGAGCCAATCAGAATAAGTGATACGCCTCCTGCCTTCTGTCGCGTTATGCACGCCACTTTCAGCGTCTACGTCTACGAATTCGACTCTGTCGTCGCGCGTCGAACCGTTCTCTCTTTTCTAACAATGACACGTGGATATCGAAGTTCAGGATCATCCCTGCGCGATGCACACATGATGAGATTCGTTGTACAAGATAAAGCCGATTTTACCACATCGTTGTCGCGTAAGGCATACGCGTTATCGGATGGGGGATTCCCCCAAGAGGAAACCGTTACACCGGTCGTGCGAAGCTGCAGCGGAAAAAAAATTAAACCAACACACGTGTATTCTCGAGTGTCTGAGAAGCGAGCACGTCGCGGAAATAGAAATAGATTAATGGCAGGTTAATGGATTTTTTGCATTCCATTCGCGCGTTGGACCTCGCGAGACTCGAGGATGACTCAATTTCCCGAAGAATTAATTACGCGCTATTTGTTGGAGCATTCACGAGAGCAGGGAAGAAGAAAGTTGTAAAGAAGTTTTAACGTTCAAGCAAGCGAAGATTGCCGAAAAGATTGGAGGAATGAACGCGAGAAAAGATTAGACATGAGATTTCCTTCCCTGCCCTTCTTAGAATCGAGCCTCCCTTTTCGTGCCTCGCATCCCTCAGTTCTCCGTCTTATTTCATCATCCCCGACTTTTCCCCTCCGCTTTTCGGTCGATCTTTGAACACGGCCGGGCATCTATCTCAAAGCGATCACGTTAGAGCGTTTCCAATATCTTTAGCTTCCGTCGAAACGGTGGAATGGATAGAAGTCCGCGATAGAAACGTTTCGTCGTACACCCCCACGGCTCGTGTTGCCCATCACGCGGAAAGAAGTTTGCCAAAGGCGATGTTATCGAATTTCGATCGGTCGACGGCCATTTACTATGAGCGACGAAGAATGAACTGCGCTCCACCGGCTAAGGCGTTCAAGGGGCCTTTCAAAAGCGGATCTACCAGGTATGCGGGAGTCAA